GTCTGAAAGCCTAGTGCTAACACCCCACATAATCCAGAGCTAATGTGAATGTGAGGCCTCCAAACATAAAGGACATTAGGGCTAAAAAACGTATATTTATCGTCATTTATCAAAGTTTATGAGTTTAATTCACATAACTGGATACATTTGAATTGGAACTGTTTTTTTGATGTCCTTTAAGATGCTTAAATTTTCATTTCTTTTGTCAGGAACATTTCTCTCTACTTTTATTTAAGATTTTTTTGTGTTTGGCAAAACAGTCATTCAGTGTATGTTCACAACTACAATACATTTAATTTACGTAAACACATATTACGCATGCAATGCATCCTGAAAAATTTACACCAGTTCCATATGTGAGTCAGACACCACACTGTTTCATCCATTTATACAGTAGTGATTAAACCCAAAGCTTCTAAACCTCACAAATTATGTGTCTCGTCTAATGAGGAAAATCTGCTTAATTTGTCCTGAAGGATTGGACTTTATGTAACCCAAAACATCAACCCGTCTCCTCGGCTCGACTTGGGATGTCTGGAGTGTAAATATTTATATTTGGAGCAGGAAGTTTCGAGGCCGTTGTGACAGCCGTCCCCTCGTGGCAGTGTTGAGAAGGCATATGGTTCCAATATGAAATCACTCTTATCAAAGCATTCATAGACTGCCTGTGAGCGCTGCATCTTGACCCATGTTGAGAGATACAAGTGCACTAATAGTTATAGTCTCTCTAATTGCTAAATCCAATGTTAGGAAATAACGTTCGGGGTGGAAATGTGTTTCAGAGTCAAGATAAAAGAAAACAACAAATAATATGTAATATATAAAATATAACAACTTTTTTTTAAATACAACAACTTATGATGATGATAATTCCGATAAAAGTTCTGATATATTATTTAAAAACGAAACATTTAATAAATATTATGTAATATAGTTGTATTTAAGAAAAAAGTGTGCACACTTGTGTAATAAATGAACCATCCTTGTGGACCTTACAGCTGATTTTTTTTGTTTAATATAAATCTGTTCTGAATAGAAATCTGTTTGAAGATTGTGAATCAGAATCAAATCATATACGGAATATGATGCAGTGTTGTTATTGTTATGTAAAACTTAAACTGTCAAAAATAGTTTTCATTAATTAAAAAATAAAACTGAAATAAAATAAAATAAAATGAAATATAAGGTAATAGTTTTATTGTCCACTTTAGACATTCTACTAACTATAAGTAATTTTGCACCTAGCCTAAATGTCAACTATCAGTCATGATAGTATTAGTAGACTGTCTGTTTAATATCTGCTAAAACTTGTTTATGCTCCCCCAACAGACATTCTACTGACTATAAGTAACTTTGTCATGTCAAGTACATCAACTTAATCTACTAACCCGAACCCGAACCTAACCTAACCTAACAGTCTACTAATACTCTAATGAGAGTTAGTTGACATTGCAAAGTTACTTAGTTAGTAGAATGTCAAAATAAAGTATAAACAAATATAAATATTAGATAAAAAATATGAACTAAAATTAAATAAACTGAAGTACTAAAAGTACTAAAACTGTAATAAAATAAATTAAAGCCGAATAGAAATATAAAAAATGACAAAAGATAATAAAATTATAAAACTTTAACATGAAAAAAGAAAATATAAAAGTAAAAGCTATTCAAAATCTTAGTAAAATAGTAATACTAAAAAAAAACACTGATATGATTGATAGAAAATGATTAATTAAAAAGATACCCTTATCTTTAGACATATCAAATATGTTGAGTGTCAGGACATTTAACTTTTTTTTTTTTTTACAGCAGTACTGCAAAACGTAATAATTAAAATAGCACGTCATTATTTTCAGATTACAGTAATGACAAGGATATTTTTGCACTATAGTAATGTGCTTGATTGTCCTGAAAATAATGTCACAATAAAAAAAAAGAAAAAAAGAATGATCCTAAAAACAGGCTTCATTTATCTTTCTTTTGATTCCGGGCATAAAAATGACCCTGACATATTCTTGACAGGTTTCACCCTTTGAAAACTCTTTCTGTCTCTATGAGCTTCCAGTTCAGGCGAAGCCCTTTACGTGCGATTGGAGCTTTGACACTGTTTCTAAAGCTTTGACTATATATGAAAACAAAACAGCACATTAAGCGCTAATGCTTGGCTAGGTGTGCGGGGGAGCTCGCCGGCCTTTGGCCCGAGGGAAGTTAACAAGCGTCTAGCTCAGCTCAGTATGTGCCGCCCCAGCGCTAGACCTGTAATTACCTCTGTGCTGTTATTAGGTGCTGGGCTAAAATGCCTGACCACGTTAACAGTATCGCTTAAAGAATTATAATAACACGGCACTGTCCAGCTGCGGTTTTTCATCTCCCCCTCCCTCAGCCCTCCTTTTGTTTACCGTTGGTGTAATTAGACATCGGCAAGCTCTGGGGATGGAGGTTTAATAACCACAGTGATGAAAGACAGGAAGAGAGATAAACTTCACATGGACGCAGACAG